AAATAGTAGGTCTGTTCTTTATAGCTGAACTGGCTGTACTAGTTCAGAGTTTATCTTTTTCCCTCCACATTGGAAGAAGAAAGATAAACTCTGAACTAGTGCAGCCAGTTCAGCTATAAAAAACAGACCTAGTGAGTTCTATGTGTGGTGATTACTAAACGAATATGGCGGCCCCCCCCCCCCCCGCCGCAAACGTGCTCCGCCGGTACAGCTTGTGCTCCGTCCCTCTATTCCTTAGTCCGTGATTAAACCAGATTAAGAGTCACTTTTCCCAACGTCGGATAACCGTAAGTTCCAACTTGTAAAAAATTGAAAATATGAATAACATATTATCATTAAAAAAAAAAAATTTCAAATTTTTGTTATCTTTAATAACGAAACTTTTTTCTACGTGTTAGAAATTTTATTAGTAAGTTGAGCGCATTAGTTAACATTAACCGACGTTGGAAAGTGGCCTTAAGGGTAACGTGTAAACGTAGTCGGAGACTACTTGCTATATCGGCGTTAGAGTTGCCATAAATTCATATTCGTTTTGTTATCGGTGTCAGTGAGTCTCAAGAGTACTCGGAAAAATTGCTGAAGAAAAACATCTAGGAAAAAAGAAATTCGACAACAATAAATAAACGAAAAGTAACAAGTAAGTTCTCTTCTTTCTCTTTCTAATCGAATAAAACAATCCAGTCAGTAATGTCTGTTCTCGAACAGATTTTGTTAGACGTCTGCTACAAAATTTTCACAGTAGAAAGATTGCAAATTGTATACAAAACCTATTACATCAAAAGAATATAGCAGAATGTCAGCAGAAATGTTACAAAACCTGTTGACATAATTTGGAACTGTCCTGATTGCGCACACTACCGATCGGATATGAGGATATTTCCTAATCGGACACAGTAGAAAATAAACACATGGTAATTGCAATCGGACACAAATGCAAACCCACGTGGAATCGTACAATTAAAAATCTTGTTTCGCATCTGAAGTACCGGGTGATGTGAGCTAGACCTCGCTTCGCGCGAGAAGTTGCAAACCCACGTAGTGGTTGCAAAAGTTGCAAATCTACAAGTCATGTTTTTAAAATTACGAAAACTGTCACAGAGCATGTGTCTGATTGCAATCACCATAGGTCTGTTCGTTTTAGCTGAACTGGCTGCACTAGGTCAGAGTTTATCTTTCTCTTTCCAATGTGGAGAGAAAAGGATAAACTTTGAACTAGTACAGCCAGTTTAGCTAAAACGAACAAACCTATGGTGATTGCAATCGAACACATGCTCTGTAACAGTTTTCGTAACCTTAAAAACATGACTTGTAGACTGTTCTACGTGAATTTGCAACTTTTCGCGCCAAGTGAGATATAGCCCACATCACCCAATACTTCAGGTGCGAAACGAGATTTATAACCATACGATTCCACGTGAATTTGCATTTGTATCCGATTACAATTACCATGTGTCCATTTTCTACTGTGTCCGATCAATAAAAATCCTCGTGTCCAATAGGCAGTGTGGACAATCGGGACTCACTCGATTTGACAGCAGATCGGAAGAAAACGAGCAGGGATAAATATGCATTTCAGGTTACACCTCACCGATTTTGTCGCCATTTGGATATGTTGTAGGGAAGGTTGTTCTGAGTAATTCCCTGCAAAAATTAAGTAAGGTGCAACATTGGTTTAGGAGATATAACAAATTAAAGTTTTGCAATTTTAATGCTCTTCTGGTGTTATAAGATTCAAAATATTAAATGATTTTTGAAACTGGGCGCGAATCGATTAAATATTGCAATAATTTCAGGATTTGGTTTGATAAAATTATTAAAACAGTATGTTTTGTTATGTCACAATCAAGTATGTTTTGTCTCAATAAAGTAAACATATATTAAACACATTACATATCTCATTGACTACCTTTTTTAATAAGCAAAACGACCAAAGTAAATTAATGAAACATTTAAAGGTCCTGCTCGATTTCCGTCAATAATTTGCTGTGTGCCTATGTCGACAGATTCTGCCGGCAGAATACAAGCTTAATGCGGACGTAGTAGATGCCAATCTGCCGCAATATTTTCCTTAAATCTGCTTTCAAATTGCCGGCTGGCTGCTAACATTTTGCTGACTGGGAATTTTTTGCTTTCTAATAATTGCGATTATCGATACGATATATTTATATAAGTACTAGAGTTAATTAAGCCGAAACAGAAGCTGATATATAATTTAATTTATAAAATATTAAAAACACATAAGAATATCTTACTAATGTAAAAAATTTATACTAAATTGTTAATAGAAATATGCAGAAAAATGAAGAGAGAAATTTACAAAGTCAGTCAGCTAATGTGACACATTTCTGCAATCTAAAGAAAATCCTAAATTTTTGGCCAGGACTCAACTATTTAACACAAGAATTTCTATGCGACATTCATATGATTATGGCAATTGGATGTGGTAATTTCTTTTTCTTTGTTTTGTTATTTTATCTTGCTGATATCATAATTTTTGTTTCCATATTTTAAAACAGAAATGAATATCACAAGCATGAATGTCTTTATAATCGTAAAGAAAGACGGATATGTCTATAGCTATACTTGTGATGATAACAAGCGTCTAAAGAGCAACTGTAACAATTATTTTTTACCTCTTTATAATACTATGGACGTACTCTATTATTCTACAAATCCACAAATAATTGAAAATCTCTGCGGCAAAAATATAAAGACATTTGTTCAGATGGACATGCATGGTTTATTTGCGCTGACTAACGAAGGAAAGGTATACATTAAAAAATTACATATATTGCAACAGTAATAATTAATAATTATTAAATTATAATGATTTACCGATATGGTTGTAAGTATATATATGTAATTAGTAATTTTGATGTACGTGCCCACGCTCGTGTTCGAGACAAATCCGTAAAAATAACAGCGATGAAAATCCAGTCTGACGCATCATTTCTGCTTGCTCGCTGCTTGCGTGTTATTTTTCTCATCATATAATGTTAATTTTCGTTGTAAGACACGCCACTGACCCACCCAGATCGTATAGCCCACGTTTTAGCCGCGCACAATGCGCGATCATTCGTCATTCCTTTTTAATTAATATCTCAATTATTATTACGACAATTGCAAACGTTAAAGAACTTTCTGTTCAGTTTACCCCGCTCTACTGGTACACGAGCATTGGCACAAACATTATAAAATAATAATAATAATTATAAAATTCAATATTAGTTTATTTTTGTGTCTAAACGTTAGCGTTTTTTATTCAAATTTATTAATATTTGCGCGTAATAAAGAAATAATATATTAAAATATATAAATATTTTTGAAAGGTATACTCTTGGGGTGACAATAAATTGTGTACATTGGGTCATGAAGAACGTAAAATAATTTCCAAACCCACTCTTGTGACCAGTCTAAGCAATAAAAACATTGTGAACCTTGTATGCGGTATATCTCATGCTCTCGCTCTTACTGACGATGGAAAAGTAAGTAATTGTTGTGACAATAATATTATTACAGTTACAAATTGGACATTTTTTTTATTTAGGTATATATTTGGGGAAACATTGCTGAAGGGGGCCAAACACCACAACAAATATCTGATTTGGAGAACAAAAAAATTGTTTGCATTGCTTGCGGCTTGAGATATAGTATAGTTGTTACAGATAATGGCGAAGTTTACATTTGTGGTAGATTATTTAACAGCACTAGTAGGAATGTGAGACGTGATATTGCTAGCTTTATAATTTCAAGGGATTTTTGTCGAATGAAGCAAATGACCTTTGCGCCAACAATAAGTATTTGTTTCTTCTTAAATTTCGTTATTGATTCAGTTAGAAATTCAATATTGTTGAAAAAATTGCTAAACAAATGGACATTTCAGTTAAGGTGGCCTGTGGATTAAACCATGCTTTAGCACTCACCGATGAAGGAATTCTTTATGTATGGGGTGAAAACAGTTTTGGACAACTAGGTACTGGCGACAAAAAAAAAATTTATAAGCCTTTTTTGGTACGCTATTTATCAATCTAATTGTTATGATAAAAAATTGTAAAGCATAATTTAAAAAATCATACATTTTATGTGAATAGTTGAATACATCTGATATGGGAGAGTTGTCAGATATTGCAGCATTAAGCACGAAAAATATAAGTGTAGCCGTCAACAAGAATGGATGTTTTTATGTATGGGGTGATTGGGCCGGTCGGATAACTTTACAACCAAAGGCCACCCTTTATACAAACATGAACGATGTATTCACATGCGAAAATATCATGTACAAACCACTAATCTTGACAGAAACTGCTCTTGAATATGTGAAAAAAGAGTCAAACACAATGAGATACCTGAAAGATGCTTTTAACGATCCTGTATGTTTTTTTATATATTTATTATTTTTGCATGCACTTTCATCTATTTTTAAAATTTAATAGAAAATTAATTTATATCAAAGTTTTAAAAAAAAGAGAAAAATTCAGCAAAAAGTGCAATTAAAACAAACAAATATGATATTTAATATTTTTATTAATTAGAAGTATGTATAATTAGTGTAGCTCAGTATGCTCAGTATTAGTGTAGCTCATAAATAGATTTCTATATACATGAATAATAACATTTTTATTTATTAAATCAGTTTTCTATAAAATTTTTTTAAAAAAAGTTTTTATTACATATATTTTTACTACAAAGTAGAAAATTAGTTTTTAGATTACAAAAATGATATTAAAGTTGATAATCATAACATCAATTAACATAAAGTATTCAATAATTTTAATATATTTAATAGTGTTTTTAAAAGAAATGTAACAAAAATGACAAAATTTTCATAAATTATCTTAATACCGCGTTGATTAAAAAACTTCTTTGGATCTTTCAGTAAAAATAAAAGATAAAAATCCGAAACATCTTTAGTCAACTCATCATTATATGCATTTTTTTAACTTTTTTGTTGTTTTTTGCTTGTGTGACACAGTCAACGAGTGACTTCAAAGTAGAAGTGGAAGGACGAGATATTCATCTTCACAAGGCTGTCCTAAAAGTTTGTAGTTTATATTTCAGAACCATGTTTCAACATACTTGGAAAGAAAATATTGAGAAGTAAGCATATGACAAAACTAGTATTAACAAATTTTTAAACTAACTTTTTAATATTTTAATGTATGTAGGTACAAGAAAATATTAAAAAGTAATTTTAATATGGCAATAAAAAAAGACTGTAAATATAAGATTACTTTTTGACTCTCTTTTGTGTTTCATAACAGTGTCTTGAAGCTCGATATGTTTTCATACAACGTTTATGAAGCATTTTTCAAATATTTGTATACAAGTGAGATCGAGATATCTTCGGAAGAAGCCTTTGGTATGCTTGAAGTAAATACGTTATTAAGTACATTATATTCATATTTTACTAAGACCATCTTATTGTAGAATTGTTCAAATTAGCTGATATGTATAATGAGACGGATTTGAAAACAGCTTGCATTCCGATAATACAAAGAGAGGTTACTATATCAAATGTAGCACTTTTTTATAGCAAAGCAATTGGATATAATGTACAGGTAATTTTAATAATTCACAATGTTTAAATATTAACATTTAGTAGCAATATACTACATGTAAATTTTTTATTTTATATATATTTAATATATTAACACTTTTTTTATAGTGGCTGGAAGAATTCTGCTTTTCATTCGCCATGAGAAATGTGACAAAAATGACACAAATGGACAGTTTCAAAGAGTTGGCCAAGAATACGAAATTTATGTTTCTTATAAAAGCAGACGAAGCTAATGCTTTAAAAACGTAATTAAATTATTTTTTTAATATTAAATTTTGTTCGAAATCGAATGAAATCTACAAATATGCATGTACATTCGACTTATTAACAATAAATTACATTTAATTCGAATACTATGTTTATGTTAATTTTATCATGTTATTTATTATTCCCATTCTTTCTTATATATATATAATAATTCTTATATATGAGTATAAAATGCATTGTGTTATTTTTCTATTTATCTATCTAACATTTTCAATCTCGCAAAATCACAAATTATATCCGGGCCATTAATATTTGACGTGCGGATCGCGTAATATTCCGTAATTAAGCCTTTCTGTTTTTTTTTAAGTAAAATAATAACTCTTCCTAATATTTAATATTTATTGTTAATATTATCTGTGTGCGTTGGACCTTCTATTTCATATTACTTGAGTCTCATTTCTGGCACCACTGCCATATACTTGTTATTAAGCATAGTTCAAATTCGCTCATAAAAATGACGTTTGATCATAAAACATGTTAAGATGCATTAAAATCATAGTACGATCAAAGAAAATTTACTCAATCTTTTTATTTTCTGAACGCAAACATTGGTAACATTGTAATTGTTGTCGCGCGCTATTTTATTACTTTGCAACATTAGACGCTGACAAAATTGATTTTTGTTTTATTTAGAAATTATGGAATGATTTAAAATGTATTTTAATTAATACTTAACTGCGAAGAATAATCTACAAGCAATAACCTTTTAAATTTAATAAACTAAAAATTCATAAAGGATTATCATTAACGTAATATTATAATTGATGTTGCAATTTATTATTTATAAATTATATAGAAAAAGATTTATTTGATTCAATTACAAAAAAAATTATTTGAATTGATACGATCATATTGTTAACCATATTGTTCGTTTCGCGCGAGAGGGGGGAGGGGGAGAAATTTGAATAACTGTGTGTAAAATGTAAATGAATCAGTGTACATGTGTATGTATGACCGCAGTATGTGAGCTCAGATCCGTGGGTTTGCTAAGCCCCAATGACTGTACAGTTCAGCTATCCCTGCGGATATTGTTTTCACTACATTAGGTCTGTTCTTTATAGCTGAACTGGCTGCACTAGTTCACAGTTTATCTTTTTTCCCCCACGTTGAAAGCAGAAAGATAAACTCTGAACTAATGCAGCCAGTTCAGCTATAAAGAACAGATCTAATGCATGATACACAATCGACCACCAGAGCATCGATTATGGAATTTTTCCCAAAAAGCAGAAACGTGAAAAGTGAAAATTTCACATGAATTCGACGAATAGAATTGTCGAATTTGCATAAAGGTTTTCATTTTTCAAGTTTTACTTCTAAGGAAAAATTACATAAACGATGCCCAGATAGCAGCAATGAAGCAGTATAATAAGCAGTATAATCAAAGGGCTTGTTCGTTTTAGCTACACTGGGGCTGCTCTGGGTCTGCTCTACACAGGATAATACAGAACAGATAAATAGTTTGTCCTGTATTATCTTGTTTAGAGCAGACCCAGAGCTGCCCCAGTGCAGTATAATAAGCAGTATAATCAAAGACTACGTTTACACGTTAACTTTAGTAACATCCGTAGTTACAAAACTGGCCAATCATCACAGTCATTCATTTTTCAGAGAAATAGCTGTGATTGGTCCGTTTCATAGCTACGGATGTATAAAATTCGATTAAGGTCCACTTTTATCAACGTCGGTTAACAGTAGATTCCAGCTTGTTAAGAAAAAAAATATTTCAAATTTTTGTTA